GTTAGTGTAGGGAGGAGGCAAATGCAAGAGATGTTTAGGTAAAAACAAACAAACAAACAAAAAAACCCAGCAGATTGCAAATTTCTTTATTAGAGTAAGAAGCAAGAGCACATCTCAGATTCCCAGTCTGAGATGTCATTAATAGCTATTAAGAACAAAAAGAGAACAACTAGATTCTAATTTAATTTGGGACTTGTTGATTTTCAGTTGCTACAGAGATCACTCATCAAACATGTCCATTAGGCAACTGGAATCTAGAACGTTCAAAGACTGCTGTGCATATTATAATCCCTAAGGAGCATGTGAGAGGACTTCAAAAAGCTTGTGGAAAAATGAAGTGTGAGTTTATTTTGGCACAAATTTTTTTTTGAAATTCATGTATAGTTTTTTCATGATACAAATTTTCCATTAACTTTTTTGAACACTCCTATATTTTTGAATAAACTAGCAGAAGGTGAAGTTTTCGTAAGTGAACAATTTGAAGTCTAGAAAATGATTAGCGTCACTTCAAAGGATTGGGTGCTTACATTTACTACCATTTCACAAGAATTTTTTTCCTTCACATAAAGAATTAAAGAGACTCTTGACTATCAAATGAAGAGGTATGTTCGCATTCAGATTATTGTTCTGGTGTTCAGGGGTCATGGCTCCTTTTTAACAAAAAGTCAAGTTGTTCGCTGGAAAACAAATAATACAATAAAATAAAACATTGGATCAGTTATGGCAATTAAGACTAAAGCAAATGTTGACTCTTGTCTTTTAAATGAGGAACTTAGCCTAAGAAAAGTGGTATTTTACTTTCAAAAATGTCTTTCTTTGTTATGCTATACAGAAGGGAAGGCTTGAGAATTCTATCTGCTTATGTTTGACTCTAAGGATCACTTCTCCACTTCCATTGGAGAAAGAGGACTCCCAACACTGTTCATATTTTTAAAAGCTACTTTCAGCCCAGGAGAGTTCCCAAAATTTCTAGAACTCATTCTCACTTCTGAATTTCATAGCTTTATTAAAATCTGTGAATAAAGGGATCAAATCTATTGCACCATTGAATTCCCAGTGATCAGCACACTATCATATAGAGAGTAGGCACCTTGAGCACCCAGAAAATATTTTATTTTTACTTATCAAGAACATTCATTCTAGTGATTGAGGGAGATGGGCAGCTATCTACAGAAAAATTCCTGAACTGCTTCTTGATGAAAACTGCAGAGAAGAACAGGCAGCTAGGAGAAAGGATAACTGACAGGACTGATGCATTTTGGGGAGAGGATGACTTAGTTGAGAGTCACTTGAACTAAGAACTAAAGGCTAAGATGAGTAGCTTTTAAGACCGGAAGCAGAGGAACAGAGGCAATGGATGATTAAGGGTCATCTTGGGTGATATGGAGGGCCCTGTCAGGCTCAATTTCCTGAGCTGTAAAGGGGGCTGCACTCTGAGGTCTAAGTACTTTCAACACTTACTACTCCTCTGCGAGTCTCTGGATATGGGTTGAAATAATCAAGAAAAGTTTCATGAAGGTCTTGGGACTGAAATTGGGCTATGAAGCTAGACTGTGCTTCAACAGGGGTTAGAGAAGGGAGGACACATAAGTGGTGGGAGTATTCTGAGCACCATTACAGGAGCAAGAAGGAGCACAGACCTTATGGATGGAGAGAGATAAAGTTTGCCTATCCAGGAAAGAGAGGAGAAATTTAGCAATAAAGGAAGAGAGAATGGTTTATGATAGGAAAAATTATGTGAAATTGATTACTGAGCCAGGAATAGATGATCACACTTAATCTAACTAAACTATGAGACTGGAACTATACTCTTATGGTCCTAATTTTATTAATGAGAACACTGAGACACAGAGAAGTAAGAGAACATGCCCAAGACAAAGTGGAATCAATGTGGGCCAAGGATGCCACAAGGGCAATCCAATTTCCCAGAAGAGGTGGGCTTGGGAACAGATAACCAGCAAGATATGTGTTTCTTATCACAGTCCTGCCAGGGGCCTTATAGCATGATTTAGGTTTATATACTTTTTCCTCAATAAGTTTATAAGCTCTGGGATGGCACAGAGAAAGACTAGTATGTTTGGTACATTTTTCTACAGTTTTAGAGCCTGGATAAAGACTCAACCTTGTGTTTTAAATAATTTTTTTTCTTTTTTTCTTTCAAGAAAAAAGAGAGACACAGGTACCCCTCTTAGCATTTCAGCACCTCATGATTTCTCCCTCCATACTTCTAGTCAGTCAGATCATGGGCATGCCTCTTGTACTCAGGTCAACTCAGCATCTGAGCCCAGGCCTTCCCATAAGGCTCCATCATCATTCAGAGGTGCCCCATCACCTGCACCGCCATGCCTGGACCCTAAATCTTGTATTGAGGAGCAGTAAATCATACAGTTGTGCCTGCCCTACTCAGAACCCCTTTCTGTCCATGCGCTCCTTCCAGCCTTGCCAAGAGTGGGCACTTGAGTCAAGATCAGCCTATGATCTTGATGTTAACCATTGCCAGGGCACTTCCTCCCAAGAACGGTCTCTACTAAGCAACAGGCCCTATGTTAGTTGGGATCTAAAAATGGGGTATTCAGAGACAATCATCAATCAGTAGCAAAAACAGAGACCAAATGAGGTACAGAAAGAAGGCAATAAGCAAAAACCAGAAAGCAGAAGAAATCTGAATAAAATCAATGAAGAGCGAAAAAGAAATTGAAACAGAGTGACTGAATTACCATAGAAGATTCTAGGACAGAGAAGGTATGATTCCAAGCAGAGCATGCGCAGGGAAGGTATGAGTTTATGATCATGTGACCTGTGGTGTCACACAAGACCAGATTTAGAAAGTGCTTCCATTTGTCATTAAAATTCTTAAGAGGTCTTTTTCATCTTATTTTTTGTTTTCTACTAAATTCTGCAAATTATGATAATGAAAGTGACCACAATGACAACAATAATTACTATTTTTTTTTAAAAAAAAGAAATAGAGTCAGATGTGTGGGTAGATGTGAGATTGAAAGGTGCTAATGCTATCCTTTCCTTCTCTCTTGTCCTTGGGGTAGAAAGGACAATATTAGCCAATCATGGCCTGTGGAAGCTTCTTTCCACTAGAGCACTCTCCAGGGTAGTCTGTCTAGAATGCAAACTACATCTTTTCCATTTAAAACCTCCAATGTCCAATGGAGGGATTAGCAGATGGCATAGTCATTACATCTATGGAATCCCACCTGGCCAACCATGGTTCAAGTCCCAGACCGACTGGCTTGATGTGCACTTAGGCATGTGTGCCCAAGATCCCAGAAGTGGAATGGAAGAGAAGGGATTGTGGTGTCCTTCCCCTGAGTAGTGATTTCTCACTTTCTCTCTCTCTCTCTCTCTCTCTCTCTCTCTCCCAAGTGCACATGCCCTAAGCCAAAAAACTCTTAAAAAATATATTAAAAACCTTCAACGACTCCCAGTGCCCTTAGGTCAATGCCCTGTATGAGCATAAATCTGACATTCTCCAATTCACCCCTTTTTGTCTCAGAGACAGGTTAAGGACATGCCTAGAACAAGTCCATTGAGTGCCTTCTGCATGAAATATCAACGTAATCTGGCACCAAATTGTTACCAGAGAAGCATCTCCTTCAGAGATCACTGCATGATTCTGGAAATCTTAAGACCTAAAGCAATAAAGGAATGAGATCTCTGAGGGGTATGCTTGGGGCAATGATAGATGATGGTTAGGATGAAATCTGTGATAGGTTGACAGACAATATGGAGTAGGTAGATCTTACTATAGACTTTCTACTTTGCAAAGTGGTATATGATGAATGAGCACAGCTTTTCTTCTGCTCTTTTCCCAAGCAGAGCTCAGACTTTCCTTTAAACAAATGTTGAATAAATATTTAAAGAGCAAAGTTGTAAAAGGTGCCAAACTATTGGACTGCAGGGCTAGACAATATGTTTCAGTCTAGACTTGCTAACTCCCTCTCCTTCCTTCTCTCTCTGTTACTCTTTCCTCTCACAATACCATTTTATCAGTTCCTGGAAGATACGACCTCAGACGCTTGTCAGAAGCTATATCCTAAGTACTCAGGAAATGTTTTCCTTTCAGTCAGTTGTGGTCTCAATGGCGGGATACAATGGACAGGAGAAAGCTATAAGAAAAGTAGGTACAAGGCAAAATAGATTTCTCTCACATTTCAAAAGAAAGATTCTAAGACCACAAAGTATAAGAAATTTGAAGAAATAAAAGAAATTAAAATGGTAAAAAAAATTTTTAAGTAGAAAAAAAAGAAATTTGGCAGTCCAGGTTCTTGCTATGAGGAACTTGATGGACTGAGCATCTGAAGGACTGATTGTGTTTCCCCAATATACCTCTACCCTCCCATTCCCACCACACCCTGCCCCTCCCAGTATAGACTACAAGCACGGGTCTGAGAGTCAGTTATCCCATTGGCTTTACCTCTTAATGATTATGACCACTGAATGATTATGTGTATTTGTCTTATTCTGTTTCTGCTGCTATAACAAAAATATTGAGACAAGATAATCTATAAATATCAAAAATTTACTTCTCACAGTTCTGGCTAGAGGTCCAAGAACAAGGCACTGACAGGTTTGGTATCTGGTGAAGGTTTAGTCTCTGCTTCTAAGATAGCACTGAGTTGCTAAGTCTTCACATGGCAGGGGGCAGAAGGGCAAAAACAAATGCTCACTTCCCTACAGTCCTTTCACAAGGACATTAGTTCGTCCATGAGGGCACACCACTCATAACTTAATCACTTTCCAAAAGCCCCACCTCTTAATACTATCACATTGGATCTTAGATTCCAACATATACATTTTGTAGGAACAGATCAATTCAAACCATAGAGTTAATTTTTGTTTGTTTGTTTCTTTCTGAAATTTTTAAAATGTATTTTTTAATTTCAAGAAAAGCAGTTTTAACTTTAATAAATCGTAGAAATGCTAAGGAACTTCGCTTAAAAATTAAAGCCAGGAGACAGGTTAGGATTCTGTTCAAATAGTAAGTACATGAACCTATCAACAGCTCAATACAGGACAAAAATCCTTAAAATCAGACAACAAAGCCTAGATGAAAATCAACAATGTTTTAGTCAAAAGTCATTAAATGCTGTTTCATCAGTTCGGTCTCATGTACTTTATCTTCTGTTGTGGTTCAATCTTCCTGATTAAATTCTGGGACATAATATTCAGCTCCAGACTTGTCCCTATGATTAAGTTGGCCATTTTCTTAGTTTTTGAATTTTTATTTCCATGTATCTGTGTTTTATTTTCCTGGTATAGCACTCCCTTGGGAACTTCTTGGAGATCTGGTCTGGTGCTGGTAAATTCTTTCAGGTTTTTTTTATCTGAGAATGTTCTTGTCTTTTCTTCTCATATGAAAGATAATCTTTCCAGGTACAGTATTCTTGGTTGAAAATGCTTTTCCATTAACATTTTGAATATATTTTCCCATTCTTTCCTTGCTCGCATTGTTTCCAATGTGAGGTCTGCTGTTAGCCTGATGGAATATCTTTTGTAGGTAACTTACCGCTTATCTCTTGCCAATCTTAGTATCTGTCTTTGTGGTTTTGGTCATTCTGGCTATAATGTGCTTGGAGAAGATTTTCTT